TAGAAAAAAAGCCAAACGCCAAAAACAGCCGCTGTAAAAACATCCAGTGTGCATGAGGACTTATAGGTACTTATATAGCGCTGTCAATTTACGCAGCGCTTTACATATGAATATTGTACATTCACATCAGTCCCTAACCCTCCAGGGGGCATACAATCTAAGGTTCCTAACTTACATTCATACATACATATACTAGGGCCAATTTAGACAGGAGCTTATTAACCTACCAGCATGTCTTTGGAGTGTGGGAGGAAACCGGAGTACCCGGAGGAAACCCACAGAGGCATAAGGAGAGCATGCAAACTCCAGGCAGGTGGTGCCGTGGTTGGGATTTGAACCAATGACCCCAGTACTGTCAGGCGGAAGTGCAACCCATTTATCCACTGTGATAGACTATTTCCCTTACTAGTTTCTGCAGGCGCTGTGTAAACTATATGCAGCATCAGCTACATTCAGTATACAGCTATGTGTTTCGGCATCACTGCATTGACGTTCAACCTGCTTCTGGAATAAAATGGAGTTGGACTGAGCACCTTTCAGCCATTCACAGGAAGCCTTGTATTTTATCAATAAAAATTTAGTACAATGGGCTTTACCGGTCTGAACCCGATTGCTTGCTGTTGAGCAATACAAAATGGCTGTACTAAAGATGGGCTGACAATCTTTTCTGCATGACATTCCCTTTAAAAAAAAAAAAAAAAAAAAAAGTGTACAGATACAGCTGTTATTAGCCATGGTATTCCAATCTGTCACAACTTTGCATACAGAATGAGCCCATTTCAAAATGGTTCCTGACAAAGATATTCTATAGATGAACCCCAAGGAGATATTAACACACTGAAATCAGGTTTGGAAATAAAGCTTTTTCTGAGACGTTGTCAGCACCTTGTCATATACCACAATGAAGCTATTGAGCCTTCTATGGAAACAAAGCAGGAGCACGAGAAGATTCAGTTTATTAATAAAATTATGAGCAGAGGATCCAGGCATAGACTGACTAATCCACAAATAAAAAGGGGATGCCCCCCATATAACCCTTGACACAAAAGACGCCATAGAGATGCAGAAATGCAAACGAATGAATGGACAGGGAGTTCTACCAGCCTCCCACCATCTGCTGTCAGTAGAGAAAGCATTATCCAGACTTGCAAATATGTGACAGGCCAACAATTCATACACTGCACACTAAAATCTCAACACTGCAATGAAAGAACACAGAATGTTCACCGCACTGAACGACATCTTGACTAAAGCCAACTGAGGACCACAAAGTAGAACATCGAGTCTACTCAGCAATAGGACAGGTTATGGACGGGACTTTTCCAATGGCTTGGGATCTTCTGGGCATTCATTGAAGATGAACAAGATACTAAAGACGAATGTCACCCTACCACCAGTGATACTTTTTGCTTTCCCTTACTGTTTCTGGAAGAGCCAGATGGCTCTTCGTAGTTCCTGCAATTGGCTCCCCAATGGCACAGTGCTAGATCTCGCACATGTGCAGACAGAGATCTGGCGCCATGCCTGTTTACATGTCATTCCATGGAAAGTAATGTTTCCTGAGCAATCAATGTCACATATGCCAGGAGGCATTACATTTTACTATTACCAGATCATATTAGTAGATCCAGCGCCAGTCTCTGTTTAGGAGCCAAATCTGGTACCATGTCAGTTTACTTGTTATTCTAGGAGTGCATGCATGAAATCAACAACATAAAAATAGTGCAGCGCTGAAAATAATGACAAAATGACAAAAAGGTAGTCCACAGTCTATGACATATAAACGTATCCAGTGTCTGATGTGATTCAGAATAGGTGATCCGTGTGGAAATGGCTGGAAAACGCACTCACCAGAAGTAAGACACATAAACGCAGTGTGTATATAAAACTCAAGGATCTTCAATCCAGAGGGAAGTAAAGCTGATCCGGTTACAGGAATGGTGAATCCCTCCTCCGTGATGCAGCAACCGATCTTCCTTAACACGATTAGATGTAGAATTCCAAGACCAAGGTTCTGCAAGTAAAAGCTCCTCAAGGGAGTTTTAGGGAAGGACACCCATAGTGAAGTAGGTAATAAAAGGCAGCTTTATTCACAATAATGATATCCAATTCAAAGCAGGCAGGTATCATACAGATGTGTCAGCAAGACAACTAACCCTGATACTTTGAATAGTGGCCGCCGGGCCTCCACGTGGCACCGGCGGCGTAGCGTCTCGACGTCCAGGCTCCTCCTTACGCGTTACGTGCGCACGCACATCTTCAGAGGTATGGAACCATGGTACGCTACGCCGCCGGTGCCACGTGGAGGCCCGGCGGCCACTATTCAAAGTATCAGGGTTAGTTGTCTTGCTGACACATCTGTATGATACCTGCCTGCTTTGAATTGGATATCATTATTGTGAATAAAGCTGCCTTTTATTACCTACTTCACTATGGGTGTCCTTCCCTAAAACTCCCTTGAGGAGCTTTTACTTGCAGAACCTTGGTCTTGGAATTCTACATCTAATCGTGTTAAGGAAGATCGGTTGCTGCATCTGCGGAGGAGGGATTCACCATTCCTGTAACCGGATCAGCTTTACTTCCCTCTGGATTGAAGATCCTTGAGTTTTATATACACACTGCGTTTATGTGTCTTACTTCTGGTGAGTGCGTTTTCCAGCCATTTCCACACGGATCACCTATTCTGAATCCACATCAGACACTGGATACGTTTATATGTCATAGACTTTTAGTGGACTACCTTTTTGTCATTTTGTCATTATTTTCAGCGCTGCACTATTTTTATGTTATTGCTTTTAAGTGTATTGGTTGCTTAGAGTGCCTAGCCGCTTTCAGGATTAGCGCTCACTGCTGTTTCTTTTTATTGCATGCATGAAATCAGCCTGTCAGAGTCACACATCATACCACAAACAGTAATAACTTCACTCATGGCAAAAAGGAATTTGTGAATGTTCCGGCCTTTACAGCTATACTCCAGACACATAAAAAGATATAAAAGTAATGCAGATTTGCACTCATGTTTAATCTGCAACTAGTGCAAAGCTGGCCATGCATGGATCAAAATTTGGCTGGTTCAGCAGGGAATGTCAATCCATGTGTGGCCACTAAAGTTGATCCTAGATTGTAAACTCGAAAGAGCAGGGCCCTCGAACCCCTCGTGTATTGTATTGTTACTGTCTTGTCTCATGTTCTGTCCCCCTTGCAACTGCATAACCTTTGGCGCTATATAAATACTGTATAATACTGTATAATAATAATAATAATATTCTACTCATCGACTTCTGTTCAACAATCATGTTTAAAAAAAAAAAAAAAATATTCAAATCAGCAGCTGCAGCCAATGACTGCCGCTGATCTGTGCATTCTGAGAGCAGGGGGAGTCTCCTCACTATCAGAATACAGTAGTGCAGCAGGGAGGATTCTTCCATCCACCTCGAATGTATATATAAGGGAATCAGTTCATTTTTTTTTTTACATTTAGCCTGCTGTCTGAACTTGAATTTGCCTTGGTATTAGTTTCTTGTAATCCTTCCTACAGCAACACTCAGAATGGTAGAGGGAAGGGCAGAACTGGCAGCCAACGGGACAGCTGCATGGAAATGTGCTTACAAGAAAATGCTGATAGGAGGACATATCAGAGTGAGCAGAGGGATTATCTTATCAGTCTGCTGCTGCTCCTTAACTATCCAATTAGGTTGGGCGTGGAGAGAAAACAAGGCGGTACTCTCAAATGTATTTATCCGTTTGCTTTAGCTTTCATAAAACACCACAGAACAAAAATGGCCATTAACCCCTATTAATAAACATCCCCTTGGTAGCCCATATATAAAAATACAGATACCTGCTCTTAAAGCAGCAGTAGGTTCTCAAAAAAAAAAAAAAAAAAAAAAAAAAATTTAGGGTCCCCTGCAAGGTAATGGCATAACACACTAGCACATAATGAAAGGCTTACCTGTAAAAGTGATTTTTTTTTTTGCTTTGCTAGCAAAGGCAAAATTTTAGTAGTTTTGGACAGGGTGGATATGGATTAAAACACCTGTCAGGTGTTTATTGCTACCTCTGCCCCCATTACGGAGATTCACCCTCTTTGTCCTGTTCAAGTTGCTTTCACACTGAGGAGTTTTTGAAGCGCCTTTGCTTTAAAAAAAAAGAAAAAAAAAGCCTGAAAAGCTCAAGAAAAATGCTTTCCTTTAAATTCTATGTATGTTTTCACACTGGGGTGTTGGGCTTCCACTGTGGTCTATGAAATCCTACTTGGAGCATTTTTGAAGCATGTTTGTTCGGTTACAAAAACGCACCAAAAACTCCACTTCCCATTGAAATCAATGGGAAACAGCAAAAAGGCCTCAAACGTACCTGAGAAGCATTTTTGGTGCAGTTTTTGAGTCACATGTCCTTTAAAAAAATGCACCGCAAGTGCTGCAAAAGCATGAATCAGTGTGAAAGTGTCATCACCAAAAGTTCTGTCCACAGAATAGTAATAGAGAGGAAACCTTCCAATAGAGACGCTAGTTTTGGAAACAAGCCCCCTTAATTTGCAGGAATTTCCTCTCACTTCCTGTTTTCGCCATGGGGCAGGATGTGAGGGCAAATCTTCCCAGTGAGACACAGATGGCAAGAAAAACTGCCAGGGATTGTAAACCTTCCTTATGCTAAAATAAAAGAAAGTTTTGCCTATAGTTCTATTTTAACTATTTTTTAATCATTAAAGTGTTACTAAACCCACAACAATAAAATCAGTCTGTATATGCAGTAAAGAATGCTGGTTATACTCACTGTGGAACCTAAGGGGTTAATCCTCTGCATTGTGTAAAAAGGCCGTTTGATCCCGACTTCTCTGTTCCTCCTCTTGTTCAAATGTCCACATCTTACCTCCTGATAAGACAGACTGAACTGTAGCCATTCTACACATGCTCAGTTTAGTGTCTATCGCAAGAGTTTTTTTTTTTTCTTGGGAGTGCATGTGATCAGCACAGGGCCAATCAGCACTGTCCAGACAGAGGTCAGGAGTTTTGCATCTTCCTAGAGCAGAAAGAAAACTCCTCCTACAAGCTTTAACCAGAACTCTGCTGAACACTGATAGAAGTCACTAGACTGCTCTGACTGCTGATGAGAAAAGGTATTTAGCAGTTTATATTTACTAAAATAATTGCATTTCCATGTTGTGTGTACTGTGGGAGAGCAGATATAGTGAATGCAGGGTCCTGGGTTTAGGAACACTTTAAAGTGAGGTGAAAGTTAAGGTTAAATTTTGATGCATGTATGAATGCATGCCCCGAGATGTGCTGCTTTAAAGTGTTCCTAAACCCAGGATCCTGCATTCACTATATCTGGTCTCCCACAGTACACAACATAGAAATGCAATAATTTTAGTAAATATAAACTGCTAAATACCTCTCTCATCAGCAGTATATAACAGTCTTGTGAATTCTATCAGGGCCCAGCCAAACACTGGTTAATCTTCTAGGAAGATTTTTCATTCCCCCCTGACTCTCCTATGAGGCTGCATGACCCCTGACCCTCTGTTTGGACAACACAGATTGGCCCTGTGCCGATTACATGCACCCTCCCCCCAAAAAATTCTCTAGCAATACACACCAAACAGAGCATGTGCAGACTTGGCACTGCTGCTCTAACTATAGCAGATGGATTGGGGACAGTAAAAGAAGGGGAGGATCAGAGAAGACAGGATCTTTTTTTACATAATACAGAGGACTAACCCTTTAGGTTCCACAGTGAGTATAACAAGCATGCTTTACTGCATATACAGACTGGTTTTACTGTTGTGGGTTTAGTAACACTTTAAGCTGCTAGCAATAGTAAATATATATTATATTTACTTGTTTTAAACTTTTTTCTAACATTTCTTCAATCACTTCCCAATTACTGGCCTAGGCCAAAATGATGTCATATACCCCAGGAGTCCTCATGGGCATTTTTTTCCTTTTATCTTGGAGGGTGAGGAGGGAATTTCTCAGCTAAGCACAACATCCTACCAGCATGCCTGAGCTAAGAGCAGATGGATTCCAAGAGGTAAATGCTACATTAATCATCTGTCCTTACTCAAAAAGGCTTTGGCTAGAAATGCTGGAGGGGTGTTCAAAGTGATTTCTCAACAAAATAAAGCATGGAGACATATGGATGGATGGATGGGTGAATTTCCATCAAATACTAAAAATGAATTGAACAGAATCTTCATGTTGTGGTGCTCAGATACAGTTAAATTCCCCTTTAATAACAGCAAAGAGAGTCAAGATGTGCATTATTAAAAAGCAACCAAGTGATGCAAGCATGGCAGGGTAAAGGATACGAATAATTGTATCAACCTATGGACAGAATATTCAAAGTCATTTGACCCAGTTGGAAATTATTAGGTGATACCATGTTGTCAATGAGCAACTGCACCAGTTTAGAATTCATGTTGAAAGAATAAGCTCACCTTTTGGAACATGGTACATGTATATCTCTGCTCCCGGTGACCGCTGTCACTATATGGGGGGGGGGGGGGGGGGGGGGGGGGGGGAGGCAGCCATGAGGGGCTCCACCCACACGAATGCACAAACTACAATTACCATCAGCCTTTATGGCTGACAGCTTGTATTTCTGAATGGATTGCAGGGCTCTGTTGAACGACCTCATAGTTCATTCACAAGACCTGCAGCTTGTAAACGGTCAGCCTGTATGAAAGTACAGAGTGAACGCTGCAGGCTTGTCTACAGGAGCATGGCATTGCACCCATGATCATGCTTTCCAGGCTCATTAGGGAAAAAATAATAAATGCACATTACACTCTATACTAATGACACACAAATCTATCTTTTCTACCCCTCACCTCACCCCTTTAGTCTCCTCTCATATTACTAACCTTCTAAGCGACATATCGGCATGGATGTCACTCCACTTCCTCAAACTCAATCTTTCCAAAACGGAACTCTTAGTATTCCCCCCAGCCCATGCCCCCTCCCCTGACTTCTCCATCAAGATCAATAACACAATCATCAGTCCCTCCCCTCATGCCAGGGTACTAGGTGTAATCCTAGACTCCCATCTGTCCTTTCACCCCCAAATCCAATCACTGTCCAAATCTTGTAGACTTCACCTCCGCAACATCTCCAAGATACGGCCGTTCTTAACCTCGGAAACCACTAAGCAGCCTATTCACTCCCTTGTTATATCTCGCCTTGACTATTGTAACTCCCTCCTCATTGGCCTACCTCATCGCAGGCTATCCCCTCTTCAGTCTATCATGAATGCTGCTGCCAGACTCATCTACCTTACTAACCGTTCTGTATCTGCCACCCCTCTCTGCCAATCCCTCCACTGGCTTCTCATTGCCCAACAAATAAAATTCAAAACATTAACAATAACATATAAAGCCATTTATAACTCTGCCCCAAATTACATCACCAGTCTTTTCTCCAAATATCACCCAAACCGTACTCTCCGCTCCTCTCAAGACCTCCTACTCTCTAGCTCCCTTGTCTCCTCCTCTCATGCTCGTCTCCTTCTCCAGAGCTTCCCCCATCCTCTGGAACTCTCTACCCCAATTTATCAGGCTATCGCCTACTCTGCTCACTTTTAGGCGATCTCTGAAAACCTATCTCTTCAGGGAAGCATATCCTGCCCTCAGCTAATAATGGAATCTTCTATTCATCCTACCAGTCCATCCCCCACAGTTATTACCTTGTGTACCACTAGCCCCTCCCTCTTCGATTGTAAGCTCAAAGGAGCAGGGCCCTCCTAACCCTCTTGTATTGAACTGTATTGTTGCTGTATTATCTCCGGTTATATTGTAAAGTGCTGAGCAAACGGTTGGCGCTATATAAATAGTGTATAATAATAATAATACACGTTTTCCTGCAAAAATATGTACATTTATTTTTTTTTCCCAAAAGGTGAACTTATCTTTTAAATCAGATGTGTCCTATACCAGGCGACACATATGGAACAGCCCAAATGGTCCCTCTGTCTTAGCATCATCATTCATATTTGTCATTCATAGAAATCACCTTTGTGATACCTTCATCGACCTCAGTCGTCACTGGCCTACATGAATGCTGCACCAAGGACTATATGCTGAGAGTTCATGCCTTCAAGGAAGTTCAGAGTGTCTTAGTTCCTGTAGTTTTGATTTATCCGCAGCTCTGCTCCTGAAGGTGCCCACACATACTAGCGGCAGGCGTTGCTTACTTCAGCTGCGGCCCAATACCAGTTATAAGCACTTATGGGTAGAGTTTGAGTGTTCCTCCCTCTCACATTCCTATTGCATCATCACAACGATGGGCTGTCTCTTTGACCAAAGAATAGGGCACACGGCTCCCAAGCCCTAAATCAGATAATTCACCCTCATGGAGGATCAGTCGCTAAACGTCAGCAGGTGCAAGCTCTATGTCCTACAACTGCACAGATCCAATAGAAGAAGCCGGCTGTGCTTTGAAAAAAATTCAAATGAGGGTAACCTTATTCCTCCTGGGACATCCACCGGCATGCTTCACCCACAAGTTTGATCATGGAGGTCCTCTATAAACAGGCCCAGCCTTGTTTGAATTTTATGGCCTTTTCACTTACATTTTGACCAACAGGACTGTGGGCAAGGCAGGAAGGGGCAGTCAAGTCAAGAGGCTTTGCCTATCCAAAACAGGCAGCATTCAGCTACAGGAATGACAAATGAAAGCTGCTGCAGATATGTACAGAACCTCTAGGTGCCTGCACTTCATAGCTCCTTTTTCAATATTAATGCTAGGTTCACACTAATGCGGTTCGGTACGTCGCATGTGATTCACACAGGAACCGCACCGCATTCCTGTGCAAATCACATGCAATTTGTGTGCGGTGCGATTGAAGCCATACATTATGTATGGCTCATATTGCTATCTCGGACCACTCTCCCATCTCCATTTCCCTCAATTACCTTAATAACACACAACACAAAACGTGGCGCTTTCCCTCCTTTTTAGCCCATAATCAGGAGCTGTTACTCCAAGACACATGGGCGGACTTCCAACTTACCAACGCAGCTCATCTATCCAATCCAAATTTATTCTGGGAAATGGGCAAGGTGGTCTTACGCGGTAAAATCATCGCTTTTACATCTGCCTACAAGAAAAAGCTCACTCTTAAATACACAGAAGCTAGCAATCGACTTCGACTGACAAACAAATTTGCGGAATCCAACACACATGAACACAGGAAAGCCTGGCTAGAGGCGAAACACCATTTCAAAACATGGGCAGCAGCCCAAGAATCAGTGTACCAGTCCCATCTTGACCTACAGTACCATACGTTTGGCAACAAACCTGGTAAATTATTAACTCGCCTGTGCCGCAAACCATTCGTTCCCACACTTCACCTCCCTCAAAAACTTGCAGGACACGTTAAAACACTCCCCTGAGGAAATTATTTCCATATTGGAAAATTTCTATGCCAAACTGTATGGCCCTGAACCCATTGACCAATCACAGGCCATCTCCTTCCTAGGCGATATTGCACTACCTCCAATTGACCCCGTAGCACTCCTATCTCTCAACGCTCCTATTTCGCAATCTGACATTCACTCTGCCATATAAACCCTAGCAAATGTATGGCTCAAATCGCACAGCACCAAAAAGGTGCAGGAACCTTTTTTGGGTCCACACTAAAATCGGATTGCATGGGTATTCACACCTATGCGATCCGATTCTGCACATCGGCACGCGTTTTGCGGACCAATTTCAGGGTGGTGTTAACTTAACGCTCACCCGCAGCGGTTTGCATGAACAGGGTGTGATTCTGATGCGGAATTCGCACAGAAAACGCTACAAATTCCGCACCGCATCAGTGTGTAACCCATCCTTAAGTCATTTTAAGCTTTCCAAGTGTTGGATTACAGTTATTCTGTAGCAACCGACCCACCTTCCCATCTACACTACATGTCAGATGTACATACACAGACTTCTAAGGCTGTGCATTCTCCTTTGTCATTGAAAAACACAATGGAGAACAGGAAATCAGCCACAAATTTCAATCAGATATCCTTCTCACAATCCTTCTGCGTCCTGATATCAACTGCAAACTGTACTCAGTCCAACCACAGTAATACAGTGCCAGGATCACTTGGATTACTGAAGAATGCCTGTGTGCTGCCACTTTTAAATGAACCCCAGTCCCAGTTGTAGACAGCGTTCCTAGCCAGCACACAGAGCTTTACAGGGTTTGCCGCTTCGGGAGGGA